GCATGACCAGCTTTAACCAAGACTGAATGGCTAAATTAAAGTGACAACAGCTGGAAAGTCCTGTTTTTGCTAACTGTTCCTATCTATATTCAAAGATTCAATGACAGTAAAATGAAGCTACTTTTAAAATACTGACCTCTACCACTTACGAGCTGTGTTGCTTTCCACATCTATAACATGAGATGAGGGGGCCTCCCTGGTGGCCTAAGGGGTTAAGACTCAGTGCTATCACTGCCTCGGCCTGAGTTCAATCCCCAGCCAGGGAGCCGACCCACATGGTGCAGCAGACCTCTCCTGTCTCACCTGCTGCTCCCCTCAGCAGTACATTTCAGTAAATCTGCCTGCTCTGCCCCCCAACTATCTCTCGTGAATCCTTTCACCCCCTACACCTCTGGCCTATGCCCCAAGTGTCGAAAGTGTGTTTCAGGACAGCACAGACTGACTACAGCAAGAGCTTCAAGTCTCCCACACCCAGTGCACAGACAGCAAGGGATACCCGCTGTAGACTGAGAGTTTGCAAACTTCATGGGAACGCAGCTGGCCACCAGGACTCAACTCCATCTGACACGCTGGGCCGAGCTGCTCCTTTACTCACCTACACTGAGCCCTAGTCACTTTGCCTGTCCCCACCAAGAGTGACAGTGAACAGGTGCAAGGTAACACAGAGGTGCAAGCCTGGGCTTGAGGGCTGTTGGAGGCAGGTCACTGGTGACAGTGCTCTTGACCCTGATCACACACCAAGTCACAGGAGCTATGAAAATGCTGGCGGAACCGGCTGCCGAGCTGGGGTCTTGGCTCTCCCTGCGACATTCCTGTGAGGCCACATGTCACGCTCGCCCTCCACCGCAGCCACCAGTGACTTCCTCCTGGCGGTGCTGCTTCAATCTACTCATCACAAAACCATGAAAAGAGATGCTCTTGACAGAGGGATGGCTGGCTCTGACCATAAACACCGCCTCCGGGCTGCCATGGCCACTGCACAGCGCTACCACAGTGCTTCCACCTCGTCCAGAGCCAGGCCTGAGGGCATCCTTTCTCTTCTTTCCCTTCAGCTGGACAGCTGGCCCCGCCTGAACAGCTCCTGCCCCGGGCAAGTGGGCGCTTCACTCACACCAGCACCACCCCTGACCTTCCAGAGAGGATACATCACCTGAAGACAGCTACCAAAGTACCCTAGGACCCACCTTTTCTCCCCCTCCCAGAATTGCCTCCAGACCCTGAGGGCTGGTTACCCCACTCTGAGGGCTGCACGCCAGCACCCAGCCACCAGCATGAGAACCTGAGCCCCCCACGCTGGATCCCATAGCCACCATAAAGGCAGGTCAGCACTGCTACCCCCACCCTAGACACCCTGAAAGCACACTCGGTTCCTGCAGCTGGTCTGCTCACATGACTCCTCCTGGCCAATGACACGCACTGCCCGACACATCTGTGATTCTCCAGCCTCCCCACCCTCCGCGGCAACATCTGCGTTGAGATGGTGGTGCTGTCCCTGAGCCCCAGGAACGGCTCCAACCCACAGCTGGAGACGGGAGATCTGGAAGCTTTGCACACACATATATGAGAAGTGAAGCTACGGGGCTAACTGCCATTTCCCAGAGAGGGCGAGAACGGGAGTGTCTGGTGTTCCCAGGGCAGAAGCCTAATGGGTTCTGGCAACCACAGGAAAACCCGGGAGAGGGCGGCGCACACGCTCAGGGGAGGGACTCCCTCCGGAAGACGGCAGGGGCAACCAAGCCAAGCCAATCAACCCGAAGGGGTCACAAGCAAAGTGGGCTGGGTGACGAGGAGGAGCTGCAGCACAAAGGCGGCTGGCTGGGAACAAGTGGGAGCGACAGAGGGCAGACGGCAAGATGCCTGTGTGGCTGTCTGAAGGGAAGAGAGAAAAGACAGAGCACAGGAAGCTGAAGTTTGGCGCATAAAATGGAAGTGACGTGCCCTGGCTACCCTGACAGAGGGAAGGAGAATGGGAGGCTGCAAGGATGCCTGCGGGCGGGGCTTGGGAGGGGTCCCGGTTGGCAGGGCAAGCTCTGGCCTCAGTTTCCATGAGCTCTTTTCATGTCACCAGCTTGTAAAGCCGTTTCTTCCCTCCACTGTCCACATCCCATTAGTTCTTCAGGAGATTCAGGGAACAGAACTGAACTGTCACCTAATCTGATGTGCCCCCTCCAAAGGGCAGAGTCTCGACTTCTTCAAAGGTGACCCGAAAACCCCAATAAGCCAAGCACGTTCTCCGTGATGAACAGCTGAGTGGCAGGTCAGTGCACACGAGTGTGGCTTACACCAGGTCCCCACTGCCATCCTGCAGGGAACCCCCGAGGGGTCACGGTCAGCTCACCCGAGCTTCCCCAGGGCCGTCTCCGCGCCTTATAGTCCAGATGCAGTAACTGTCAGATGTGCAAACTATAGCTTTTTTAAAAAAGGAAAAGGGGAAAAAAAGAACCCTAAAATGTTCCAAGAAATCTCAAATATACAAGAAATGTAAGTTCTGGATTGCGAGGTAATTACTAAGGTCTGCTCCTGTTTTAACACTTGTGAGATCCACTTTGGGTGCCCCAGAAATGACTTTTCCCAGAATGAGCACATCGGGCTCTGAGAGAACTAAGGTAGTGTATTCACACAGCAGATTTACCAAGCAGTGCCCTAAGGAGCACCTGGTATTTACAATGCAGACAGCACGATGCCCTGGCTGGTAGGTAGCCTTGAGTGGATATGATTAAGTTAGCAACATGCTACTAATGCCATATAGATTCTATAAGCAGCTCATTTTTTTTTTAATAGAGGCATGTTTTTATTTATTTGTTTGTTTGTTTGTTTTGTTTATACATGCACTGGGTACAGTCAGAAGCGCGGGAGGGTGAGAGAATTCACCAGAGCCAGAACGGGGAGCAGAGCAGGCAGAAGGACCGAAGCACACTGCTGAGGGGAGCAGCAGGCGGCAGGAGAGGTCTGCGCGCCATGTGGGACCCTCCTCTGGTGGCCGGGGAGCAGCCGGGGATCGAACCGGCACCGCAGAGGCCGCGGGCAGCTTCACAACCCAGTGCTCAACCACTGCGCCACCAGGGAGGCCCTAAGCAGCTCATTTTTTAAAAAAAAGATTTATTTATTTATGCATATAAGAGCTGGGGTACAGGCCAGAGGCGTGGGGGGTGTCTCTCACCGGAGACAGAGTGGGGAACAGAACAGGCAGACTGACCAAAGTACACTGCTGAGGGGAGCAGCAGGCAAGACAGGAGAGGTCTGCTGCGCCATGTGGGTAGCTCCCTTGGCTGGCCGGGAATCGAACTTGTGCTGCAGTGGCTGCAGATAGCTTCATAGGTTGCGTCTCAACCCCATGCGCCACCAGGGAGGCCCTAAGAGGCTAATTTTTTTAATGAAGAGATGCTGAATTAAGTGCAGTTAGACTAAATATAATCATACACCCTTTTGCAGTTTTTGATCACCATGAGCAATGCACAAAGGCAAGTCCACACCATCTGGACACCAGCAGGTAAAACACGTTTGCCTCCCACAGATAAGTAAGGTTACGAATGCTGAGGTATTTAATATAACGAATTTTCTGGCATCCAGTATGTACTAATTATAAACCAATTTCAATATATTCTCTTAAACAGGGTCCCAAATGATTAACGATTTAGTTTTACCGGCTTAAGTTAAAGCAATAGGATGGTTCCCTTAAAAATAAAATGTAGGGCCTCCCTGGTGGCACAGTGGTTGAGAGCTGGGCTGCGAAGCTACCCTGCAGCCTCTGCAGCACCCGTTCGATCCCCGGCTGCCAGCAAGGGTCCCACATGGCGCACAGACCTCTCCTGCTGCGCCTGCTGCTCTCCTCAGCAGTGTACTTCGGTCTTTTGCCTGCTCTGCTCCCCGCTCTGGCTCTGGTGAATTCTCTCACCCTCCCGCACTTCTGACTGTACCCAGTCATTGTATAAATAAATCAATTTTTAAAAAAAAAAAATGTAGCTGAACTCACTAATTCACTAATTGAGCCCAGTGACACTAAAACTGGGACAAGCTGGCATTAAGTGCCTCAGGAAGTGAGACACAACACAGCACCTATCACGCTCTCACCCGAAAAAAATTCAGCCTGAATTTTTTTCAAATTATGGGACATAGAAAAACTATTTTTTTAATTTTCGTTTTAGTGTTGGGTCCCATTTTTCTCTTCCATACAGACACGATCCACTCACACGCCACCACACCACTCGTGCCAATACCCCTTCTGTCTCCCTCCCTCCTTGTTCCCTAACTAAATAACGTCAAGAGGAACCTAATACCCAAAGCCAGAAATGCCATCCTCAGGTCACATAACCCATTGTTCCCAAACACATTAAGAAATAAAATTAAATGGAGGGAGGATCACCACAAACGAGAGAGTTTTAAGCTGTTGGGCAGACGGCAGACGGTGGATGCAACTGCAGACTGTGGATCCCGATTGGAAAAAACTATATTAAAAGATAATTTGATCAGTGTTCGTAAATCTAACAGCGGCTATTCAGAAAAATCCTTATCAACAGAATACATGTACTTACTGTTTTAAAAAGGGAAAAATACTCATTTTGCAACTCAGGATTTTTGCGGACTTTTTAGTGACAGAGTCTCTGGACAGTCTGAAAATATGGCCCCTCTTCCCATAACCAAGCCCAGGAGAGAATATAGAAGCCATAAAGCCACAAGCAGCTTTCAAAACATCCACCTTCCCTTCTCTCCTCCCTCTCTCTCATCTGCCACTGGGCTAAGAGTAGAGTCAAAAACATTTGTAACTTTGGTTTACCATTGTTCTGCATTTCCTCGGCTCAATGTAGCTGAGGATGTAGCAGACAAGTCTGGGGTGCACACGTGAAGTAATTTATACTCGAGATCCCAGAACAAGACTGGAAGGCTTTGGAAAGGCCCACGTCATCATGACACTGAGGCTTGGAGACACTGCGTCTCCCCTCGCTGCGGTCAGAGGCTGGCAAGCACCAGGTGGGGCGGGCGCCTGCCCTGTGCACACTCACCTTCCCATGTTCCTTCCTCACGTGAGAAATGTAAACGTCTCGTTGGGTAAACAGACGGTCACACTCCCAACACGTCCACCCAGGACTGGCCACTTTCTTGGATTCCATCGATTTTTTGACAGGAGATGGAGATTTCTTCTCCAATTTCTCTTTCCCGTTCATGGATCTGGTGTCCTCTTTGTTGTTTTGATTTGCTGAATTCTGAGTTGCAGGCTTAATGCTCAAAGGTAAGTTTATTCCCAAGTTTGGAGGGCCTTCAATACTTTTCAACGTTCCATGCATAGACTGTGTTACAAAAAGAAAAGACATGTCTGTCACATGTCTGTCACATCACTAAATGAAAGCAACTACATACGAATACATTAGCAATGTCAGAGTCAATACAATGGGAGATTCACTCAGAAGCATTTGTCAATATATCAAGAAAATCTACGCAAAATATATACTTACAAGGAAGACAGGGAGACTAACTTTTAGAGTTGCTGTGTTTCTAGTCCCAAATAATTTTTTAAAGCTTATTTGCTTGTACCATTTTATAATTCTTTGAAGACAGACTTCTGGATTGAGTCCAGTTATTCCTGGCACTCTATGCTCCCCAGTTATCACAGTGTGTCCTCTCTATATCAGACCATGCTGGGGCAGAACATTTTACTTTCACATCTACCTGGAAACATTTAAATAGACAAATATACTGGCAGGTGTTCAACTTTAACGAGTACATAAGACCAATTTATTAACGGCAAGCCTTTCTACTTCCCTTTCATGCCTTTTACCTTTTCAAGCACTTGTAAGCATCTGGGCTTTGAGGGCGGGGGGTGAGTTTAATCTCCTTACACTCTACCCCAAATCACCGGACTCATGAACTAGATAGTACTCAAAAAGCCTTTTTAAATTGCCTAGCTATTCATTTACTGTTACTACGTAACAGCCACAACAGGAATCTTCAACTCAAATTTACAGGTACTTATGGTGGCATTGGTACAATTTGATACTAAAGACCAGCTACTTTGGTGCTCTACAAGCATGCACACTGAAAAAAAAAGGCAAATAAGCCTATGCCTATTGCCTCAACGCACAATATATAGATATCTGAACAGCGCCCCTCTTCTTATTGGTGCTCAGTTTGGGGCCTGGCTGTGAGTTCCTGAGCCTAGGGAAACTTTCATGTACCATCAGGTGTCCTAGACCACGGAGACCTCACTGTGTAGACCTCAGTCCCACAGTGCTTCCTGTGTATTCAAGTAAGAAGCTATTCCTGGGCCTTCCCGGTGGCGCAGTGGTTGAGCGCTGGGTTGCGAAGCTGCCCGCAGCCTCTGCGGTGCCGGTTCGATCCCCGGCTGCTCCCCGGCCACCGGAGGAGGGTCCCACATGGCGCACAGATCTCTCCTGCCGCCCGCTGCTCCCCTCAGCAGTGTACTTCGGTCCTTCTGCCTGCTCTGCTCCCCGCTCTGGCTCTGGTGAATTCTCTCGCCCTCCCGCGCTTCTGACTGTACCCAGTGCATGTACAAACAAAACAAACAAATAAGTAAATAAAATAAAAAAAAAATGCCTCTAATAAAAAAAAAAAAAAAAAAGAAGAAGAAGCTATTCCTTCTGCATCCTAGCCATCAACCCTTCTCAAGTAAGGTCTTCTCTCAACAGCTTCGAGAATCAGCCAACCTTCTCCAAAATGGCCTTAACCCACAAGGACAATAAAGGGTTCTATAATTTTCTCATGAGCAGAGGCTGCTACACCAGTCTATTGAAAAAGCGCCTGAGCTAAGTGGCAATGTTCCTTTGCAAAGAGAAAATCCTTTGCCAAGATAGGACCTCCTGACTGCCAGAACCTGTGCATTTGCTGCTTCTCCACCACGCAGGGCAGAGGCTTTGTGTTTCAGTGGTCTTTCTCAAAAAAGAAGTCAAGTTTTTAGGTTTTCACGTTTAAACCCAAAGGAAAGAAACCACAAATCTTCTAATAAGCTGTTCATGTTTCTAGGCAAGTACATTTTCACTAACTAAAGAGATGAAGAGAGGGTAAAGTATTAAAGTATCCTTTCAAAAGATAACCTTGGAGTGTTACAGAAATTACAGAAGCCACCAAAAAAAGTCTGCTGTGGCAAGAGGGAGTGATGGAATGTGTTAAGATGAGAATCTTTAATTTAAGTCGTTCAGTTCATATTGTTAAATAAAAATAGGATTTCTTAAACACTAATGTCTCTTTTAAAATAAAGGAAATACAGCTAATCCTTTTAGAGTTGATTTTTTTACTTGGATCCTGTAACTCTAAGTAACTTGAATGACTATAAAGTAAATTGAAAATTACTTTAAATGTAAATACCTACATGTAGTGTAGAGGTCCTCGCCAGTGCGTAGATCTTTATTTTGGCAGAACAAAGAAACTATGAATTGAATTCAATGGGGCAAATAAAGTTCTGCCTTGAAGTGGGTGCATACGTGGACAGCCACTATCCCTATTTATCTCTTAGGTCCCGCCATACCAACAGCTGTGTAGGCACTAGGCCATGTCAACACATTTCACAAGAGCTGGAAACATATTAAAAAATAAAAACAAAAACAGGTTGCCCCTGAAACCTTATCTTCTTATTTCCCAGCACATAAAGGCAGGGTCATACTCCAAAACGTATAGAACACACTTGAAATGAGAACATTAGTGAGTATTCCTACTACTTTCGTTATCACGTAGTCTTGTAAAGGCTGGATGAATAAAAACAATCCTTTCCTCCCCGTGGCCACAAGATGTTAATTATGCCCCTCCAGCCCCCGACTCCCAGAACACTGTAGCCCTCCAGTCACTACCCACACACGGAAGACTCGACTGGAGCTGATGATCCCACTGCCAGATGTCAAGATGAGTTCCAGAAAGCAAATACCTTAAAACCTTCTAAAGCAGTTTTTCTTGTTTCCCGGCCTCCAAAATATGTTAAAACAACATCCCTACGTTCTGATTGTTCATTAAATATTTAATGTCAAGATCACTTTGCAACTTTAGCAAAAAAATCTTTAAAATATCTTAACGGATTTTAGTGCACTTCAAGTGAGAGTGAGGACATGTCTCCCATGCACTTTATGCCTCTGGTCAGGCCCACCGCCACTACCTTCACCCAGGCGAAGACTCCCCGAGGCGTGAAGTGGACGGTCACTCTCTGGAGTGGGCGGTCATTCTCTCTGAACTGGGATACATTTAATACAGGAAATTTCAAGGATGGATAGTCCACTCATTTAACTGACATGAGACTAGACTTGATTTGTTCCTAAAATGACCTTTCCTGTGCTGTATGTTAAAAAAAATGAAAAGCTCAGAGAGAGAGAGACTGAGTTCATGATAACATTGGACCTGTTATTTCTCTTTTTAAAAAGTCAAGTCACTTTAATCTCTAAGAGCTGATGGATATTATCTCCTAATGGCACAAGGGGAAAATGCTTAACCCATCGCAGTGGACAGTTAAGAGGCTAGGACTATGCTCTGTCCCTAGGGAGCTTAAAAGGCTGTAGAGATTTAGGTGTTCCTTTGGGGGTTAAAGTGGGTCATCCAAATCGGACACTTTATCCATTTCATTACTTGAACCCCCACCAAGTGCCAAACAGTGCGCAGTGTCCTGGATATTTCATGGCTAATTTATAGGCAACCTGACTGAAGGGAGAAAAAAAATAACTAAAAGATCTAGGGGCATTAATTACAATGCAAATTTCACTACTTAAATAATCTCATGTGCAAAAAACCTTCCTTGTTCTAGCCATACCCATATTTATACAAAGCTCAGCAGAGTCTTTATCTATATTTGTATCTCACACAATATCAAGTTCTCAAAAAAAAAAAAAACCCAAACCAAGCTTCACAGTCGTCACTTTCACTTGCAGAAAGACAAGAGCTCTATCACTTTATTATCCTTTTAAAATCGGGGCATGCATTTGTTACTTTGCATTGGTCTTTTATGGTTATGTCAAACAGGGTCAGGAATAAAAAGCATCCCTCTGTCAGGTGAACGTACAAGGTAAGCATGTCGTAAACTGCAGGCTACCAACAACCAGCCAACATCTTGTGCCCCAACAGCAGCGGCTCTATGGTATCTGCAGCTCAGCCTTGATTCAGGACAATGAACAAATCTGCAGTTCACTTAAAGGACGCGAGATGCACACACACCTTGATATGGTCCATCATGAGTTGCTTCTGTGCATATAAAAGAGAACAGTCTGGACACTTGAAAACGGACACCTTCTGGTTTTCGATGTGTTGGTCAAAGTGGCGATACAGCAGAGTTTGCAGGGTAAATACCGTGTCGCACATGGAACACTTATATATTATTCTAAAACACAAGAAGTGCATGAAAACGTCAGTCAACCCTCGTCTCCACGGCAATGCAACTGCTACTTCACATCTCAAGAAATCAGGAGGCAAAAAGTAGTGAGAATATGCAAACACGATAAAAAGTACAGAACAGTTTAGCTTTGAAATAAATGTTTGAAAGCAACAGGCATCAGTCGAGTGTAGGTCAGTCTTAACATTTTGGGTAAAGATATATTAACTGCATCTGCTTAGAAGTCCAAATTAATACCATTTTACTACTCACAGCTCTACCTCTGATACATTTTTATAAGGTCTTCACTCATTAGTCGCTTGAACACAGAGAAAAAGCACCCAGGTTTTTGGGGGGGACTTTTATAGGTCACACATAGCTTGATGGTGGTACCCTCATTTGAAGAACTTGATGAATGACCTAAGTAGGCTCACTCAACTCCAATGCCAGAACAAAGCTGTTACTTGTCCCAAGTTTTCTTCTAGATTTAGGAGCAATTTTATGCTTGAACATCAACATTTCTTTTAACCATTCTTAACACAGAAAGCCCTATGACAGAAAACCACTACCCATGGACATCCAGAAACAGAAAAGTCCACCTTACAGCAGCTTCAAACTCAAATATCCACTGTGCTTTAGATGGTCTGACCTGCTAACTGTCCACTATACACCAGTCCCGCCTCTAGTACGCTACTCTCAAGCAGCCTCCTACACTGACCCAGCAGGTCCGAAGCTGCTGAACAGACCCTCCTGTCCATCAACACCAGACTCTGAAGCTAGGAAGAGCAGTCAGGATGAGGAGAACCACAGCCCCCTGGAACCAACCCAGGCATCCAGTGGACTGGCCAGTCACTTGCAGACACACCGGCCACAGGTCACCTTCAGCAACTGTTCCTAGTTATCCTGGTTCTGCGGCGGGGCCTAGGGCTCCCATGCCTCCTCTGAAGCACTGTGGACAAAGGTGCACAGAATGCTGGCGGGCAGCTTGGGAAAGGGGCAGAGAGAAACTGACTGAAAGGCAGGAAAAAGCCCCAGTGCTATTTCTATAGCAACACAGGAGAGGAAGACCTCGTGCAGGCCTGTCCCTCAGGGCCTTACAGGAGCATGTCTCATGTAACCTTCACACTTCAGGTTGTGTTTTCGTCAAAAAACATAGAGGTGACCTTTTTGTTCTTTTTCCACAGAAGATGTGTACATTTAATGGCCTGAGTGACACATGTGTCTACAATGTTTTGACATGTTAGTTACTTGAGCACAGAGCACACTTTTGTGTGTGTATGTGTAGATCAGACAGGGTTTTATGGGACTTAATATCTCAAAGGTGACACACCATGATGTGTCATCAACAATTTCACCAAGTGTGACCAAAGGTATTTTCAATTATGATGCAGCAAAGACGTGGGAAGATTTCCATGAAAACTAACAGGTAACAAAAAAAAAGTGATCACATTTTCTAAGGGGTGTTAAAAATAGAGGTGCATGTAGCCATTATCATCCCTGCTGGATGGTAACACCTGGATTCTTTCTATTGCTTTGCTTGTCAATACATTTCCTGATTTTTCTGTAACGAGCATATAACAGTAAGAAAAAAAGAACAAAAATTTTCTAGTGGCGCTAAGAATTTTCTTAGAACTCTAGCCTTGCATTTTCAACAAGCAGTTCATGAAAGATGGCAGCACGCATTTTGTACCTGCCACATTCCTTTGGGGGAGAGGTTCTGGTTGTTTTGTTATGTTGCTTCTACTCAATAGCCAAGAAGCACAAACAGGTTATAATGTATTTACTGGGGAATGGCTGTTGGTATAGTAATAGAATGCCAACCACAAAATGCTAACAGATATGAAGGGGTAAATGGTGGTTTCAGGTGGAGAAATCTGCCACCAGCTGGACTAGGTAGAGGTCAGCAAGAGCACCAGAAAGACGGGAGGCATTGCCTACCGCTGCGTCACTTGATGAGAAGACAAGAAAGCAGTAACGCACTGGGGTGGGGGTCATTCCCAGCACGAAAGTCGTGAGTGGGGAAAGACGAAGCAACCAGTTGCAGGTAGAAGAACACTGATGAGACATAACAACTAAATGTAAAACTTGCTCCTGGGTAGGATTCTAGAGCAGAGAGGAGGTAAGATTAAAACAAAACAAAACAAAAAAAGCTCTGTCTCAACCACTGGTGAAATTTTCATGGGATCTATGAATTGGACGCTAACACAATGGACGCTGACTCCCGGATGGGCAGGGCTCCTTGGTGGTGATGTACATGAGGCTGATTTCAGAAGGAGAGGCAGGACATACATGGATGCTTATGTCATGATGCCCCATCATTCCAAAATATCTCTAGTATAGAAAAGGATATATTAAAAAATGTAATTGGTGCAAATATTTAAAAAGAGCCAAAATAAAGGCACCGTGCTCTGTGAGGACACCCCCAGAGGGCCAGAACATGGAGTTGGAGCCAACTCTACAACTATAATGGAAAAAACCCAGGGAGACTGGCTGGCAGAGGGGAGGGAAGGCCCCAGGACTCTGAACACCAAGCCTGAAAGTATGCCTTAATTCTATATGCAAGACTGAGAGGAGAGTAGGGTAATCACACAAGTGGGGGAGCAGAGAAAAGGAAGCGGGTGAGGAAGAGGAGGGAAGAAGGAACAGAAAGCTAAAATGCCCACATTCCATTCAGGTCCAGCTTATAGCAACCACATTGCCCAGAACAGAGGGCAACACTTGGAACAAAATGTAAAAACAAACAAAGGATTCTAAGCTCTGAAAATGCAGCCAAGAATCGCCTATATCACCAACAAATGGACCCAAGGAGGTGCAAAGCACTCTCCTGGGCATCCTCCGATCCTCACAATCCTCATGGCTTCATTAGGTGAAATTGCAGGTGGGAGATTAGATTCCAGAGATTAGAGAATTCACTTGATGTCATGTAAATTCCTGGGCCATGGTTCAAACTCAGCTTCTCCCAACTCCACAGTCCTCTACTGTGTTGCTATTATTATTTTGTATCTGTTTTATTTCTTAGAACTTGTTCATAAACTCTTTCTCCCACAATTCTTCATGTGGACGCTCTCGTTTCTTTAAATACATTGAGAAGTGGCAAATAAAGGCGGGCACAAAGGGTAAAAGACACTACTGCTGATCAGATGTCAAGGAAACGAGACAAACAGGCCCAAAACTGTAGCACCATCAAATCCAATAATGGAAATTCAACATGATCTTGAATTACCCAGAAAAGATGAAAGGGTGTGTGAAGTTCCCCTTCAGACAGCAGGGAAATGTGCCGGAGCACACACTGGGAAACCAGAAACAAAGTACTGGAGCAGTACCTGGCACACAATGAACATTATAAACGTTTGTTAATAAAAATCTAGGGTCATGCTTCTCAAATTGAGGAGCTGGGACTACTAGACTATGGGTACAATTTCATACTTCCCTATACTCTCTAGAGAAATGGGGGGAGGAGGGATTTTTATACTGATCTTTAAAAATTAAAGTCAGGGCCTCCCCAGTGGCGCAGCGGTTGAGCGCTGGATTGCAAAGCTGCCCGCAGCCTCTGCAGCACCGGTTCGATCCCCAGCTGCTCCCCGGCCACCAGAGGAGGGTCCCACAGGGCGCGCAGACCTCTCCTGCCACCCGCTGCTCCCCTCAGCAGTGTACTTCGGTCCTTCTGCCTGCTCTGCTACCTGCTCTGGCTCTGGTGAATTCTCTCACCCTCCCGCGCTTCTGACTGTACCCAGTGCTTGTATGTATGTATGTATGTATGTATGTATGTATGTATGTATAAATAAATAATCTTTTTAAAAAAATTAAAGTCAATCACTGCATCTCTTGAGTCATATGCATAACTACCTGTTAAGAAAATACTCAGAAGAGATTTCAGTGCCTAAGTTTCCACTGCTGAGGGGGCTCCCGAATTATTCTGGGGTGATTTATATAGAACAGAGAGAGATTTAAAGTCAAAAACAAGGTATAGGGTTGGAATCCAGACCACATAGCCTTCTAGTGTGGCTCAAAAAGGGAGGTTTCCCGGTAGCCTGAACAGACACAGGCGGGAGGGAGGAGGCCCCAGGCCAGCCCAGGAGCAGCCCCTGTGGCCACAGTTGCGGGGAGACAGGGCCTCATCCCTCCGAGCAAGTCACCCTGAATGAAGCTGTCAACTTAAACTCGCTGGTTTTGGTGTTTCATTGCAGTTCATTTGTAAATTTTTTTTTAGTTTTATAGTTTAAAACATAGTAGCTAATACCCAACTTTACATTTGGTCCTTGTTAAAGAACCATGTAGTTTTAAAAAAAACAAGTAACAACAACAACAAAACACATACACAAAATAAGACACTTTGGAGTATTTTTTCCCTAGACATTGCTCACATTCGAGGAATACTGTTTTAGCTTATTTTCATCGTTTACTGTCCTGTATTCCCAGGTAACAACTACTGTTCCATATTTCGTGCATATTTCAGTGAATACAGTATCATCTATTTACAAAAGAACCAATTCATAAACTACTGACTGGGGAGGAGGAGACCATGGCAGTGCCCAGAAAGGTGCCTAACTGCCATGAACACTGAGGATGCTCACCAAAATTTATTAATGTCCGTCCTTGGAGTTAAGACACCAAGTTGTACAGGGATCCCCCAATTTGTGATTTGTTTCATTTTGAGGATCTACGAAGATCAGAATGAAGGTTCTATTAGACTAAAATCCCATTTTATCATAGATTTGTAGTAAACAGAGCCACCATTGACAATGCTTTGTCAAAATCATCCCCCCGACATACAGAATGTATGTGTCTGCACACCTCCTCCCTGATACTTCTTGATTGCGGCATTAAGGGCAAAACCACTGCTAGGTTTGGACAGCAAATCTAGCTACCAGGATGACCCAACGTCACCCCGCCATCAATAAAACAGTAATAAAGCAAACCTAGCCAGGAGCGCCGTGTGCAGCGCTGGGTGTGCCAGGAGGGGGAAGCCAGGAAGGGACAGATGCAAAGTCCTCCCCACACAGAGGCAGGGGCGCTGTGCTGCCCATTCGAGCCCGTCCCATCTCGTCCTCACTTTAGAGGGGAGAACGCAGAGGTTGGACAAGCTGAGTGCTGGCCCCAGTCCTCATGGGGTGTGGGGACCAGCACTCTGGCTCTGCCCTTCCCTCCATTTTGTGCAGTCACCCCCTGCTGGCAGGCGACTCCAACAACAGTTGACCAAAGAGCCGCTTCATTGCTAAAGACCCCACAGAGAAAAGACTGACAAATGTCAGAGCAAGATTAAGGCAAAAGTGAAAATTTTCTTTAATGATCAAGGACTTGTATTGGCTAGGAAGTTATAGTCAGTGACCATATCTTCAGTGGACTTCTCATAAATGCTACTGTGAAAAGTGTATCCTGGAGGAGAGAAACTCTGATGAAAGTTTAAAGGTAAGTGTGTAATTGTCCTATGACTTACTTTTCCTAAAGAATAAAACTGGCAAATGTTCACTTGTTTGGCAAAAGTTGATGACAAGAGCATAAACAGCAAGTGACACTTCTGGACAAAGACGTCACCTGGGTGGGACCGACAGTTTCGGCAGCTAGGGGTGGCACTTCGCAGAGGGCAACATCTGCACGGCGACAAAGTGTTGTCCACGGCACCGCCACCGCCTCGGAATCACTAATGGAGCGTGCGTCAAAAGGCAGGGTGACTTACTTTGGCTCTCCTATCTTGATGCCCGGATGCTGGGTGTAGGCATGAGAATGTGTGCTGGGGGCCGACTTAAACGCCATTGGACAAATAGGACACTTGTAGAAGACTTCACAGTGGGAACCCTGGATGTGCGACTTCAGAGCAGCCACATCAGAGTACACGACGTTGCAGTGGACGCACCTGTTAAGAAACAAACGCAGGTTGTCAGCGCGAGACCACCAGGCAGTGGGACCTACCTGCGTCGAAAGTGGGTAAAAAGAACATGTTCTAATAGCCCTTTTAAGTTTCAAATGGTTTTTTGAACATGTGTCTTGCCTTTCCCTACTTGTAACAGATCAAATTACTTCCAGGAAGATCACAAGGAATATAAAACTCAAACAGTCTGGTTTCCAAGCATCTTGATAAAGTTTCCAGGAATGAAGGTGCAGACTCAAAAAGGTGGTGAGGCCAAGGCATGGTGGGCGCCCTAGCACAGCCCAGGACACAGTTGGACCCTGCGGTCCCAGGCTTTGGAGAAGACTCCACAGGCTGCATCTGAGGTCCCTACCGATCCCTTATACCCAAGTGGTAATTCCTGATAAAAGGGATCAACAGAGGACAGAGAGGAACCAACTAGCAGCAGTTCCCAGCCGCAGCCACCGTGTCCTGGGACACTAACATGGTGGAGGTTACAGGGGACCATCAGGTAGAGGTCAGCCACCTGGACTTTCTCCTGGAAAAGAAATTTTACTGCATTTGTATTTGTTTAAGAACTGACATGAGCTGCAAACATTTGAAACACCTATCAATAAACTGCCTCTCTAGCTAACCTCTTCTCAGATTTCTAATAATTTGCTTGGCCCATTTCGCATCCAAATCTAGTCTGACAGAAAGAGACTTTAAAACAAAGCTACATTTCTCCCCAGCCTCATCTCTCTCAAGCAAGCTCAGCAACATTTAAAACACATCCACCTGGGAACCTCACCATTCTCCGTTGTGCTCATCTGAGAACTATGAGGGGGTCTCTGCAGACTCTCAGGCACTGACAGAGATGCACCCTGAGTACACCTGACAGGTGTTTTCCTGATGTGACGGTGAGAGCTGACCTGGGAAGCAGGTCTGCAGCCCGGGCCTGCCTTCCTGGAGACCGTGCTCAATGTCTTCTACATGAACTGAAGACACTTCTTAAAGCCTCCCTTCTAAACTCATGGATGTGCTTCCAAGTCACACACAGGAGAGGCACGCTCTGAATGGCATATAAATGGCATATAAAGCATGCCATGTTAAGCTTGGCAAGCAGTTTATTAAAATCATAATTAATGCACTCACATTAATATACAGACATGTAGATAAATTTCAATTGACTTAAGACTCAATGCCCAGCAGCACAGGCATTAAAAGTACCAAGTACTACAGGAGGCTAATGAAGGACAGCGCCTCCATCCTTTCTACTTGAGTCATTATTTTAGGCACAAAGCTACCTAAGCATGAAAAGTTATTTTGGGTTAACTTGAACTTGGGTTGTCTTGGAGACATTTGTGATCCTTTTTCTGGGCTGGTTTTTCATTTATAAAATGAGAATAGTTAGATTAGGTCATTTTTTTAGTCCTTCCGACCCCAGCAGTCCATGAGTCCTACTACAAAAATTAAAAAAAAAGGGGGGGGGTCGCAAGAATCCTCTTATACCATGAATCATAAACAAAAGATTTTTCCCATCAATGGTGTGTTTAAAAGGCAAAAGACCACAGAGGGATGAAGGGCTGTTCTCTGAAGCCTCCTGGAACCAGGGGAAGACTTCATCCTAAAGCCATAAGCAGGAAGGGAAGTGATTAGGACTAAAGCTGATGCTAGAGGTTGCAGGGCTTGGTCCAAACAGCACCCTGGAGGCCAGGGAAACCCTCCTTAACTGAGAAAACAGAGAATTTCAGAAGAACTGAAGAAAGAAAAATACAAACTATCTGCCTATAGGTGGAGGAAAGGGTTCAAGATCAACAGAGGCCAATAAGGAATACAGAGACCAACAGTAGAAGGCAGCATTTGAATACTTCCTATGGCATCCTAACACTTCCAAAACTGCAATCTAGTAATAAATATTTAATATACCTGAAGCCCTCAGCATTCTCGGCATCAATCAAGTTTTTTTTTTTAACTGAAAAAAATGCTTACAGTATACAATGCTGTAATTCCCCTTTCAAGATGCAGCTAGAAATATTAAAAGCAGGGAATTTCTGAGGAATATCTGACTTTGCCAAATCAAGCCAAAGCTAGAAGTGACCCCTCTTGGTATCTGGGAAATGCAGCAGATACAGGACCAGGCAGAGACAGGAGAAGCCAGTGACTCAAGACGAGACAAAGGCAGGCGTGCAGCCTTGGACAGACTCCTCTGGCTAAAGAATAAATTGAAAATGATTAAGCACAGGGCCAAAAAGGAGGGGAATACAGCAAGACCGTGGGCTGCCGAGTCCCAGTCAAATATTAGACTGAAACATGATTTGAAACAGCAGGGGGAAAATTTTTTTCATCTATAGCAGTAAACATGAACTGAGCTTCAGAATACACAGTATTTTTACAGCTCTTGTAAGTCTCAAGTCTAGGGAAAAAATCGACACGAAACACAAAAATTTAAATAAAATCAAAGAGTCAAATTTAAGCAATTCTGTGAAAGTGGAGAGAAAAGAAGGGAGGGGGAGGGGGATGGTGGGCTTTTCAAGTGAGTTGATCGCTTCAGCCTATCTGCAGGGCTTCTGGCCTAATTCAGAAAGACCAGCAACAGCTAGAACTGAAGTCGTGCTTCTTTCACATACTCAGGCTAAGTTTACTTTCATTTTATTAGAAAAATAAACTAAATATTTGAGGAAAACTTGGCTTCACATAAAAGACTAGCACAGGAAAAAATGGTATAGAACTGCTTTCTATTATTAAACAAAGAATATAGTAGCAATAGTTTCAAAACATGGAATAAGATCCAAAGATGGTCGTGCCTGGATTTCAGAGTCGAGGGCACCCATGCCGCGCGGCTCTCCCGCTGAGCACTCGGGCTGCGCCAACCATCCCATCTTTCCTGGCATCCCAGGCAGGGGAGTCAGGCATCACACCGGCCTCACAACACACATGGTGGCGGCACAGAGAAGATGCTCAAGGCACCACCTGACCAGGGGCAGAACTGGCCCCAAACCTCTGGTTTCTAAATTTCCAAACCAAAGGTCTTCTACTGGGGTGCACCCCAACCCAGTAAGCGCTGGCACATCACAAGATGGGGGCATGTGAGAGAAAGTGAAACAAGCTCTTTCGGTGTCAGAAAAATGGACAGAGCCACCCGGAATCAGTGACATGGTGCCAAAACCTAAATTTAGCTGAAATAAAACTATCAAATTATACCATGCAGACTTTTTTATAAAACATTGTGTGACATAAAAAAAAATCACTATTAATAGTCTAAATTTAAAGTTACCAGGCAACCAAACACAATTAAGTTTAAGAGAACCACACAATACAGTAATACCTCAATTAACAAAGACACTGTGTATCAATGACATGTTTTCTTGGTGGCCCTTCACAGGGTCAAAAGAGGAAAAAAAGCACAGAATGCATCTGGGAAGGTCCCAAAGTTATCAATACTAGCTGAACTAACATTAGATCTGCCCGATGATGTAAAGACACACCCGGGAATCCCAGCGGGCAGTGAGAGGGAGCCTCCTTAAAGAGCTGTGCCGAGAGGAGTGCGGCCTGGGCTCAGGTGGTGGAGGAGGAAGGGCCAATAAACAGCTACTTGGAGGGGGAGGCTCCTGCTGGTAGAAAAGGACACAGACCTGATCCTTCAACAGCACAAAAGACATGTAAGAGGCCCTCACACCCTTTGTTTTGATTAGAGCCTTAATTTAGAGGCCCAGGGATGCTTGGGATTCCTGTAGGGCGAAACTGCAGAGAGCATGGCAACCAATGATGTCGGAAAGGCCGCAGGATGGATCAGCCCTCAGGGTCAGTCCACGCCACAGCCGCTGCGTGCACCAGCGACCAGAGGATGGGCACCACTCACTCTGGTGGGGATTCCAACGATCAACTCGACCACCACGGGGGAAGGGTCCCAGAGGCTTTGTTAATGGAGGTATCACTGCATGACCCTGGAAACCACGAGCACAGACCACCCAAGCGCTGTGCAGTTGGCAGTGAACAAGCTTTACTCAGGGGGTAAGTGAACAATATACTGACCGAAAACCAACTCTCCGCGTGTAGTGCAGACAGTTCTTGGTGACGTGGGTCTGGAAGTGCACCGACCTGCAGATGGCCCCGCACTCAGGGCAGGTGTAGGGAGATTTGTGCTGATGGATTCTCTGGTGGGATGCATAACTGCACTGGTTAGGAAGCAGCATCTGGCAGATAGTGCAAGTCTTCTAAATAAACCAAAGGGGGAAACAGGTTGGTCCTAACAGTATTTTCCAATATGCAAAGACGCTTGGTTCAGCTCAGAATAATCATACATCGCTCATTTCAAACACTCCTGTCAGTGCCGCAAAACCCAAGAATAGAGCAAACTTGACAGTTACAGGTTCAAGGTAACATTCCTAATCCTGCAAAATAAAAATTATATGTACTCGGTAGTCAGATTCATCCCAAAGTTTGAGGTAAAAGGAATGTCAGCTTTAGGCAACGTTCTAGCTTTGTTACTTGTGCTTTTTGTTTAGTGTGAACAGGTGGTGCCGGGAGAGGGATTCCTGCCAGTGACGTCAGCACATCCACTTTAACGTGGGACGTTTATGGGCGTCTATCCTGACAGTGGTCACAGCTCCCACAACTCATTCAAGAACTTTCAAACTAATAAAATTCAATTAGGGAATAATCCACTTTTCTTTTTCTTTAGTCATTTCAGTTATTTTAAATATGAAATACAGGAATGCAAAAGAATGGCAACAGTAATTAGTTGGGGTCTTTTTTGCACTTAGCCTTTAAATGGATGAACTGTTCATTTTATAGTTAAAACCAATGAGCTCAAGTTCAGATACACAAATTTAGAATTAAAATGAAATCTGGTAAGAGTTTTTTAAAATCTGATCACATATATAATAAAGACTGAAATCCTCTTTTGAAAAGGCCTACATAATTAACTACCCAGGAAATACTCAAGCATGCTATTATTTCTCATGCCCATGGATGAAAGCACTAAACAAGGCATATTTTTAAAACAACAACAAAAAAAAGTAAGAAGAAATATAAACTGAGGACTTACTACTTTCACCCTGAAAATAAACCTAATAGCATGATAAAAATGTCTTTGACACTATTTAGATATTCATGCAACAAGTTATCTGCTACACAATTTATACTCAAGTCAGTTATAGAAGGCCGCAAAATATAAATTCTAACAGATGTAAAATAATCATATTGATAACAGTTATAAAATTTTAAACAAACGTTTAAAAATTCTTTTAGCACTTAAATCAAGCTCCAAAAGTATGGTTTAAACTTTAGACCATGAAAAGTAGGAAACTCACTTGAAAATTCTTTCTTGGTTTTCTCCTGAAAGGTCTTAAATACAAATTTTATCCCATAAAATGTTTATTGTAATTACAAAATAAGAACATTACAGGCAGCTTTGATGAGGTTAGCATCATTAAAAAACAGCATTCCTTTTCTAATAACATATATTCCAAAGGTTAAAACAAGCCAGAACAAGGAAACCAGGCAGTGTAGTCCTTAATTATAAGACCCTGCTAGCATCTACGTACCACAGGTGATAATCCTCTGTTGCTGTGAACTGGCCTCCCATCCACATTCGCCAGTCACATAACCCGGGCAGTGAGTAACGATGTCTGAATTTCCACAGGCATCTTAAAAGTATCTTGCACTCACTTGGTGAATGAAACCAGTATTTTTTATACTAAAGTCAAAACCATTTTATATACATGTATCAACCCCAATTCACCAAGAGCCAGGAGGTGAGCCAAGTGAACAAGTAAACCTAAACTTTTGTCATTTGATTCTCGTAATAATCTAATGGGTAGATATTGTTTCCACTTTTCAGAAGAGGAAATGAGGCTTAGAGAAATCAGACTGGTCAAGGCTCCACAGCTATGAAGGGTAAGAACAAGACTGGAACTGGGCCCTGAGCAATTCCAGGTCTGGGATGGAGGGTTGCGAGGGGGTGGAGCTAAAAGGCGTTTGCAATTGTATGGGGGAATATAAAAATAAAATTTATTATTTTTTAAAAATAAATAAATAAATAAAAGGAACCAACAAAAGCTCACCGGGGAAAACTTATAGCAAACACACCTGGGAGCCAGCGAGAATCATGCCCTGTTAGGATTGTAGGTGGGGCCCACCTCCCTCCGCAGCCTCTCTTTTATCTAATATGGTTACACTCCTTTTATAACAGGAAAAACCGCAACAAGAAAATCTAACAGGCAACAAAGCAAAAGCATTCCCCTAAAAGCCGGGAAAAAATTTTGTATTAGTTTTCATCAAGGTATGTCAGCAAATACCTTCACAATACATATAAAATTCACAATGAGTTATTGAAATAGTAATTCTCTTTGGATGCCTGCAATACATCTGTAACTATATAAGCAGTTATGGGATATGCTGGTGGGTGAAAGGATTTTGCTACTCTCAGGTTGACTAAAATAAGCAATGAGATTATTCAAGGGGAGCTTTTATGAATCGTTACAAATGTTCTTTACAACAGCAATCTCTGACTTGTGCAAAGAGTATCCCGGTCACCTGAACACCAACATCTCAATACCAACCTCTCCCCCACCAGGTCCTGGCAAGGAACAGCCTGGTGATCTTCAAAGGCCACACAGAACTCCTTGTGGACTAGAGGGATCCCCACCCCGACCCCCACTGACGACAGGAATTTGTACTCACCCTCGTTAGATACAAAAGTACAAGGAAAAAGTGGGACCCAGTCTGACCTACAGCCCCTAACCAAAATGCTTTCATTTTTGCGATTACTAAAATAAGAAAATTCAGCCACAGGGTAATCAGGTTGGATAAAGACTTTATCTTTCTGAATCTTTCTAAACAAATGCACAAAGATTTACCCCACACACTGTATCTACTCCCACTTTTCTTTTCATTGACCTGCTTCTACCCCATTTAAGAAAAAGCAAGCTGTGTTGGTTGTAGACCTTCTCCTGGAGGCTTATGTGACAGCAACAGTCCTGAACTCACTATGATGGTGCTTATGTAATGTCCTCCCTCCCCTCCAGCTGTGTTCCCTGGACCTGTTTTGGATCATGCTGTCCCTGCATCCCCTGATGGTGATGATGCACTCTGACTGCACAAAGGCTGTCTCCCACCAGCTTCCCTGGGGTTCTCTGAACTCGTGGCAATGTCACACAGCGTCTGGATTTGGAGCAGAGACATATTTGAGCAAAGGGGCAGGCTGGATTTCTTTGTGATCTAAAAGAATCTGACTTTCCTTCCTTTTATTTATCTATTTTTTTGACTCACACTAAAATGTATCCTAAATAAAATTACAATGTATCTTTAAATTCTTCACAAGTTGAAGCTCATACACAAAGCAGTGTACTGTACCTGCCTTTTTAATACAAAGAAAGTATAGTAAGATGCACATAGATTCATGTGTTTCCTGATATCTTACAAAGGTCATCAGAAGATGGACAAGTGTTTCCAGGGCCCACGTAACAGACGGCGAATTTCTATTGTGGGACTGACTCATTTACTCATCTAACTCTGGGACTGAGCCAACACTTTCAAAAGTTAATAATTTTCAATATCCAGGTAATGCTAGGAAGCTACAGGAAACCAGAGTTAAAAGGAATCCTGTTCCATACTTGACAGTTCCTGGGCTCCTGTCTCTGCCCAGTCCAGGCCCTGAAAACGAGGGCTGGCTCTGGCTGCAGGCTGGGGTGTGGGAGGAGAGATGACAGCTGGGCTGGCCTCCTCCCTGGACATGGGAAGGATCAGCTGAGCAACAAGGCAAATTATTCTGTGAGCTCCAATTCATCTTTTAGGAAGAAAAAAATGCTGGGGGAGGATGAGAAGGCCTAGAGAAATGTGAACAAATACAGCATATACTTATGCTTACATTTCACACAGACCAAAAGCCTGCAACAGCCGGAAACCCTGGATCTAAAGGTCAAAACGCTGCCAGTTCAGCAGTCAGCACAGATGCTAAACTGCTTCTGCCTCATTAGCAGCCGTTTTTGACTCACACTAAAATTTATCTTCAATAAAATTACGATGGATCTTTAAATTCTTTACAAATTGAAGCTTATACACAAAGCAGTGTAGTGTACCTGCCTTTTAGATCCATGGTCTAATTACCAAAAAAATAATTTTAAAGTTTACCTTTTTGTTTTCGGGCTTTTGCAGTCATCCAGTTTCACAGGAGAACACAGACAAAGCATTTCCCTTCATATCTCACGTCCATGCAAGCGACAGAGCAAACACTACAGCTGAAATGACTACATACACCTTTTGTTCCTATCGCTAGTTGGCTGTGCTATGGTTTTATCCTCAATTCATTCCGCTAAGCTGAAAATCCCTGGTAAAATTTGGCAGTGAACTGAGCAAATGTACAGGAAATATTTCGGTCGCCACACACAGGCTACTCAGATGATCATCATTACAAATATTGGGTATGCAAATACTACCGATTTTGGCAAATATAGGTAAGCCAGGAGTAATTAACCCAAAAATATAAATTGGACCAAGACTAGTCACATCAAAATTGAAATTAAGCACCTAGGAAAGCAGAGTCAAAAACCAAGTTGTGAGCCTTCAGCCAACAATGATGATTTTGGGCCAGTGAAGGGACAGAGGCAGTAGGGGTTCTGGAAGAAACTACTTGAGCAAGGCACGTCTAGAAATGGGGGTGGCAGGGGTTGCTTGGGATAATTTAATATACTCAGTGTCGTGTTAATGACGCCCAGAAAGTTCCTGAAACTAAACTGAATCAGTTCAGTTCTCTCTAAAAATGAGAACCATTGCTGGGCCTCCCTGGTGGCCTAGGGGTAAAGTCTCAGTGCTACCACTGCAACGGCCCACTGTGATGGCCTGAATTTGATCCCCAGCCAGGGAGCTACCCACAAGGTGCAGCAGACCTCTCTTGTCTTGCCCACTGCTCCCCTCAGTAGTGTATTTCAGTCGATCTGCCTATTCTGCTCCCTGCTCTGTCTCTCGTAAATCGTCTCACCCCACCCCACACCTCTGGCCTATACCCCAATTCTTCTATGTAAAATAAATAAAAATCTTACAATAAAGGAATAATTCTTTTAGAGAGAGAGAGAGAGAGAGAGAGAGAGAGAGAGAGAGAGAGAGAGAGAGAGACAACCACTGCAGATAAGTCACCTTTATCTGCATCCTTAGAGCTGATCTGGAGGTAACCCTCAGGTCCAGACTCACAACATTCTGTTGGAAAAAAAGGATA